AAAAAAAAATTATGGCTATTATAAATTTAAGTTTCTATATAATTATAATCAGTAATCCTTTTTCAGACAGCTAGATCAGAGTCTTGAGTATTGTAAAAATACTTATCAATCTCTTAGTTCTCATGCTCTGAGCTAAAATGTATGGAATTTTTAAGTTTATTAAAAACATAGTAGTTATACTGTTCTGCTTTATTTCTCCTTTGGCTGTGGGAATGAGTAATGACTATATGAAGGAAAGAACTGTCACACATTTCTCCTACTACCACCCTGATCTTTAAAAGAAAAAAAACTTAATAAGCTAGCCAATAATACCATTACTGAATACAATGTGATATGTTATTGTTGTTGTTGTTCTGTGCCATGGAGTCCGACTCATAGCGACCCTATACAGGGTTTCTGAGGTTATAAATCTTTACAGGAGCAGACAGCCTCATCTTTCTCCCATGGAACAGCTGGTAGTTTCAAACTGCTGACCTTGCGGTTCTCAGCCCAATTCATAACCACTACACTACCAGAGCTCCTTACAATGTGATATACTTCATATCAAATTATTGAGTAGGAAGACGCCTTTAATCATGCCTTAGTGTTTGATAACCAAAAAGTAGGTATTGATTGAATAAGTAGGTATATAGCTATTCAAAGACCTTTATTTTGTTAGGTATTTGTGGATACTTCCAAGAATGTGGACAAGGTGATGGTCTGGCAAATAACAAAAATTATCTCGATAGTCAGTCTTAAAAAAGAAGTAATTCTATCTTTATCTTTCCAGGTGTTTGATATTAAATATTTGTGCTTAAGACCTTGTTTTCAGATTAGCCACTATTTAATAAGCTTATATTTTATCAAAATATTTAAATAGGTTACATACTGATTAGTTTTATTTTACTTAATTAGTTTCTGAAGCAAATACCAACTTAATACTTAGTGTATACCTGTTCAGCTTTTTTTGCTAATTCACGCTGTATTTTCCTCTTTTCTAACATATCCTGCTCAATTCTGCGTTTTCGTTCCTCCTCCATCCTCTTCCTTTGTTCCTCTTGTCTTTGTTTCTCCATTTCAGCAAATTTACCTTTAACAGTTCCTAAACACATATGAAAAATGTTTTATATTTTGCTGTTCCCTTCTTTGCAATTTGATTTGCAATTTACCCCTCAAGTTTCTTACCTGTTAACTTTGGGACATAGGCCTTTTCTATTTTAGAAGATACCTCTTCCTCATCATCAGAAGCAAGCATTTCTTTCATCTAAATGATAAAATAAATTAGTATGAACACATCTCCAAATATTGGACAAAATTATATTATATGCAGAGTTTGCATTGCAATTAACTGATAAAGTAAACACAAAAATTATTTGAATTATAGTTAATATGAAACATGGTTAATGTGAAAGATAAATAAAATAAAATTTAAAATATAAAAATGAATACTTGCACGAGAATAAAATAAAATAAAATAACCTCCTGCTTTCTCCTGTTCCATTCTTTCTCTCTAATATATTGTTCTTTTCTTCTTTGCTTTTCATCTCTAGATCTCCTTTGACTTCTTTCTTCCCTGGCTCTCTGCATGGCCTCAAACTTATCCTTTACATCACCCTTGCCAAGTTTTGGCACATAGGTTTTTGGGATAGGTTTAGATGAAGAAAGCAGAATCTTCATTAGGGGACATTTGAGAGAAGAAAGTTTAAAAACAGAAGATAAAGAAGAAATTAGGTGAAAGTAGATCAGAATAAGCATAAATATATAAGAAATACTTATTGAAACAGAAAATATAAGTGAATTTGAACCCTTTATTTGTACAATCAGAATCTGATTACTTTCTAAAGCCTAAGTATGAAAAATAAAATTGCAGAAACTACCAGAGCATAAATTTTATTAATATAGAAAGAAGTCCTATTTGTGGCTAAACCCCACTAAAGTTGAAGGTCAGTAAAATATAAAAGTTGCATACTTATATTTTATATTTTATGGTTCTACTTCATAAAATAAGAAGCCCTGATTAGCATAGTGCTTATGTGTTGGGTTACTAACTGAAAGGGCAACAGTTTGAAACAGTTCCTCTGAAGAAAGAGAAGACTTTCTGCTCCAGTAAAGATTTACAGCCTTGGAAACCCTATGTGTGTGTGTTAAGAGCCGTCGAGTCAGTTCTGACCCACAATGACCCTGTATAGGGTTTCCAAGGAGCAGCTGGTGAGCTTGAACCGCTGACCTTGTGGTTCAAACCAACTTTGCAGTCCTGTGCCGTAGCCCAGAGCACCACACCAGGAGGACGCTTATACAGAGTTGCTATTACTTGGAACTGACTCAACAGCACACCACCACCACTCCATAAAATGCAGGTTGTTTTTAAATCAAAGATTATTCATTTAAATTAATAAAGATTAAGATTTGACCACACTTACTGAAAATGTATCAAGACTAATTTTAGTAAATTAGATAAATTTTAAAGAAAACAAAGTTTTAGGCTTCAGAGTTTAATGCATGTCTTAGGTATCTAGTGCTGCGATAAAAGAAGCACCACAAGTAGGTGGTTTTAAGAAATAGAATTTTTTCTCTTACACTTTAGGAGGCTAGAACTCTAAATTCAGGGTACTAGCTCTACAGGAAAGGTTTCTTCCTCTGTTGGCTCTATGCGATGGTCCTTGTCTTCTTTGTACATCCGAACTTGGCCTCCCTTGGAGATCTCAATATGTCTTGACATTAATCTTCCCTGACCCAGGAGGTTCTCAGTGCAGGGACCCCAGTACAAGGGACACATTCCATTCCCAACCCTCCTTCTCTGCTTATATCTCTCTCCTTTTATCTCTTGTAAGAGAAAAGGTGACGCAGACTACACTCCAGGGAAACTCTCCTTACATGGGATCAGGGCTCTAATTCTAACTCTCTTATAACTGCTTAGCTGGTTACATCAGATCACATCATGGGGAATGATCACATTATTACATTACTGCCAAATTACATAATTATATAACTGCCAAACAATTGGAAATCATGACCCAGTCAATTTAGAGGAACAGAATTAAATCCATGATGAAGTCCAATTCACATACTGCCTTCTTGCTGGTTTCCATATGCTATATGAGCAAAACTGAAGGCCAGTCCTTTACTCTTCATTTGTGGCTAAAGTGCAGCAGGGTCTTTGTGTACAAGCAGTGATACCTGCTGTTATTATGGCTATGCTGCCCATCTAGAACTTTTTAAAGACAATATTAAAAAAATATAAGAAGGTGTCATAGATAGAACTGTTAATAAGAGGCAAGCGAAGTGAGCTGCAAAGAAGGGACTTACTATCCCCAACAAAGATGAGCTGGGAGTGGAATGCTTCCTGTAAATCTGGGATCCATGTGCAGAGAATCTTCTCCACCCAGGAGAGGAGTGATGCCAAGGCGCACGAAGATTGCACAGCAGCAGAAGCTAAAACAGACAAGGACCTCCCCCCAGAGCTAATAGAGGAAGAAAGCTTTATCTTAAAGCCAATGCCCTGATTTTAACTTTAAGCTACCTAAACTGTGAGAAAACAGATGTGTTTGTTAAAGCCATCCACTTATTTTCTATTATAGTAACACTATAAAACCAAGACAGAAAGTTATATCATTCCAAATAGAATGAACTTTAAGAGGAAAATTCTAAAATGGTGAGGTTTGCCACAGAAGGCAGAATCTGGTGAAAAAGACTGTGGAAAAGATTTCCCTCCACTAAAAACCCAAGAAAGCAAATTATTTTCATTTTCTTTGAAAATTAAACTGATCTCTAATAAAAATTACGGCAAATAAAATTTCAGTACATCAGAACACCAAACCCTTTCTACTAGTGATAATGGCAAATTGATTAATTTGTGACATATAATGAGCCAGCCTGTACTTTTAATTAATGTTTTATTTTGATAAAATTTTATAACACAACATTTGTCAATTTAACATTTTTTACACGTTCACTCAGTGATGTTGATTATGATTATCATGTTGTGCAATCATCACCACTATTAATTTCCAAATTATTCCACTACAATTAACAGAAACTCAATGCCCCATACAAAATGACTCTCCATTTCTCTCTACCTTATCTGCCTACTAACCACTAATAAACTTTGGTCTCTATAAATTTGCCTATTTTAGATATTCAGATAAGTGGAATCAGATTTTTTTTGTTTTTTGTCCAATTTTTCATTCTGTATAACACTTTCAAAGCTCATTCGTGTTGTGGCATGTATCAATATTCCATTTATCTTTATGATTGAGTAATATTTCATTGTTGTTATTAAGTGCCACTGAGTTGGTTCTGACTCATAGTAACCCTGAATAGGGTTTCTGAAGAGCAGCTGGTGAGTTTGAACTGCTGACTTCAAGGTTCAAATTGACCTTATGTTCCAGTGCTTATCCTTTTGCATCACATCAGGACTCTAATATTGCATTATATGATACATTTTCTTTATCTACTCATCTGTTGATGAACATTTATGTCATTTCCACTTTTTTGGCTATCATGAGTCACTCTATATTTTATAATCGATTTAAATGGTGTGTATATTGGTCATTTAAAGTTTTGTTTGTTTATAACTTTGCAGCAACAACAACAACAGCCAAGAACAAGAAAATGGCTAAGGTAAGTTGTGTTGCAACTGCTGGAAGGAATAGCAAAGGAAGAGCTTCATCAAAGGATGAATTATCAATTTCTCATTTGTATATAGGTCAAATCTGGATTTTTAATACTTGAATAGTCTTAATTACTTTACATTTTCAAGGTTAATTCAAAGTCTATGATACATAGTAAGTACATTAGATGGTTTCTTCAAAGTCTTTGGTGAATATCTAGCCTGAATTTATGACTGTAATAATATCTATGACTTACCAAGGCCATTTAAATTTGCACTGAAATTGCTGGTCATTACATCTACCTAAACTATTATTTACAGATTTATTGATCATACTTCCTAGATAGGCCCAAGATCAGCCTAAATTTCTCTTCTTAGGTTTCTTCTTGTTACTATGCCTTTGATTATAAACTTCTTAATATAACCTTTCCAATAAATGATGCCCTTTTAACAACTCTACAGTCAACCCTACAAATATACCCCTCCCCCCCAGGTTATTAACTTTTGAGACTTACCTCAGCCTTTTGGGAAATATCATTCATTTTCACTCTATGTGGTCTTCAAGCAATTATGGAGTGTATATTTTTGCACCTGAAAAAAATTTGTAGTATTTTATAAGAATCTCTAAAATTATATTTTATTGTGTTTATAGTGAAAATCCAGCCACATGTCTGACAGTTGTTGTACTGTGGTGGCTTATATGTTGCTGTGATGCTGGGAGCTATGTCACCAGTATTTTAAATACTAGCAAGGTCAGCCATGATGGACAGGTTTCAGTGGAGCTTAGAAACTATGACTAGGAAGAAGAAGAGACAGACTACTGCTGATTGTTTAGCCACTGAAAACGTAATGAATAGCAGTGGAAAATTGTCAGATATAGTGCCAGAAGATGAGCCCCTAAAGTTGGAAGGCATTCAAAATACCAATAGGGAACTGCTGTCTCTGAAAAGTAGAGTTGACCATGATGATGTGACTGAAGTAATGCTTTCTGGATCTTCATTTACTGATGGGATACAACTCAAGATGAAGAGAAACAGCTGTAAATATTCATTTAATGGTCAAAACATGGAATGTATGAAGTATGAATCTAGGAAAATTAGAAGTTGTCAAAAATGAAATGGAACATGTCTAGATTGATGTAGTAGGCATTAGTGAGCTGAAATGGACTGGTATTGGTCATTTTGAATCAAATAATCATACGGTTTACAATGCTGTCTGTGAGAGGATAATATCCATAAGCCTACAGGAAAAGACCAGTTAAACCTCTATTATGCAAATTTATGTACCAACCACCAAACCCAGTGATAATGAAACTAAAGAATTCCACCAACTTCTTCAGAAATTGGTCAAACATACAATTAAGATGCATTGATAATTTGTCATGAGAAGGTTAGAAACAAAGATGAAGGATCAGTAGTTGGAAAATAAGACTTTGGTATAGAAATGATGCTGGAGATCACATGATAGGATTTTGCTAGATCAATGACTTCTTCATTACAAATACTTTTTATAAACAACATAAAAGACAACTTTTTGTACACATGGACCTCACCAGATGGAATGCACAGGAATCACATTGATTGAATCAGTTTGAAGAGATGGTGGAAAAGTTCAATATCATCAGTCAAAAGAAAGCCAGTGGCAGACTGTGGAACATACCATCAATTGCTCATATGCAAATTCAGACTGAAGCGGAAGAAGTTTAAAACAAGCCCACAAAAGTCAAAATATGATCTTGAATATATCCCACCTGAATTTAAAGACCGTCTCAAGAACAAATTTGATGCATTGAATACTAATGACCAAATCAAAAGAAGACTTGTGGGATGTCATGAAGAATATCATACAAGAGGAAAACAAAGGTCATTCAAAAGACAGGAAAGAAAGAAATAACCATAATGAATTTCAGAAGAAACTCTGAAGTGTGCTGTTGAGCATACAAAAGCTAAAGTGCATGGAAGAAATTAGGAAGTAAAACAATTGAACAGAACATTTCAAAGGAACAGCTCCAGAAGACAAAATGATGTATTATAATAAAATGTGCAAAGATCTGGAGTTAGAAAATCAAAAGGGTAAAAAACACAACATTTTTCAAGCTGAAAGAACCGAAGAAAAAACTTCAAGCCTCAACTTGTAACACTGAAGAATTCTATGGGCAAAATACTGAATGATTGCAGAAAGTATCAAACTAAGATAGAAATAGCTTCCACCAGAGGTCTATACACCATTGTTTCTGTTATGGCCATGTCTTTAGTGATCCCTGAGAAGTTCCAATACATTTTACGAGTAGTCAACACTAACATCAATGGGCAGTGGAAAATAGTCTTGCCATCACAGCCTTTAACAGTGTGGGGTGAAGATATGCTCATGTGGTGTTGAGGAAAGCAGACATTGAACTCACCAAGAAGCAGGAGAGCTCACCAAGGATGAGGTGGAGTGCATAATCTCCATTATGCAGAATCCACGCCCATACAAGATTCCTGACTGGTTCCTGAACAGACAGAAAGATGTAAATGATGGCAAATACAGTCAGGTCCTAGCCAATGGTCTGAACAACAAGCTCTGTGAAGAACTGGGCAGCTGTAGAAGATTCAAACCCACAGAGAACTGCGTCACTTCAAGGGCCTTCGTATTCAAGGCCACTGTGGCCATATCGTGGGTGTGTACAAGAAGTAAGACTCTATACTTTGTTAATCATTTATAAACATTTTTTGAAAAAAGAAGACTGAAGGAATACATAGTCACAGTACCAAAAAAAAGGTCAATGTTCAACCATTTCAAGAGGTAGAATATGAGCAAGAACCAATGGTACTGAAGGAAGAAGTTCAAGCTGCAATGAAGGCATTGACGAAAAACAAGATGCCAGGAATTGACAGAATGCAAACTGAAATATTTCACCAAACAGATGCAATACTGGAGGCATTCACTCATCTATGCCATGAAATTTGGAAGAGAGCTATCCAACCAACCGACTGGAAGACATCTATATTTGTACCCATTCCAAAGACAGGTGACCAAACGAAATGCAGAAATAATCACACAATATCATCAATATCCCATGCAAGTAAAATTTTGCTTACAATAATTCAAAAATGGTTGCAACCATACATCAACAGGGAACTGCCAGAAGTTTAAGTTGGATTTAGAAGAGAACATGGAACTAGGGATATCATCGCTGACATCAGAGGATCTTGACGAGAGCAGAGAATACAAGAAAGATGTTTACTTGTGCTTTATTGACTATGCAAAAGGTTTTGACTGTGGGATCATGACAAACTATGGGTAACATTGCAAAGAATGGGTATTCCAGAACACTTAATTGTGCTGGGTTTTTAACTTTCTTGGTGCCTGTTATCCCTTCCTTACCCTCCAATTGTTCCTGTTTCTAATGGAAATGTCTACCTTTTGACTATTCCACCATTGTATTTGGAAGCAGATAACTTGTATTCTAGATTCACAAATGAAGAGTAATTTTGTCCCAGGTTGGGTTTCAGACCTGAAAGACTTTCGGGATAATATAACGGGACTAAGGAGCTCTGTTAGCATAGTGGGTTAGGAGTCTGACTGTCAACAGTTTGAATCTACCAGCCACTCCTCAGGAGAAATTTGAGGCTTTCTGCTCCCATAAAGATTTACAGTCTTGGAAGCTCTATACATAGTTGCTATGAGTCAGAACTGACTCCACAGCATGTAACCAACCCCATCACCATAATGGGATTAGTTTGCTTTTGATTGTAATGTGTTAGGTACGTTATGTTAGGTGCAAGTAAGACTTTATAATTATCTTTATTTAGACATTCTGTATGATTTAAGGAGATAAGTACAGGTACCAAGTTGACAAGGGACAGACTGTTAAGGGTTTATGTCAAGTTGGCTAGGGCAGAATTCTCAGAGGTTTGTCAGTTAAGATGTAATCATCTCCCATGCTGAGATCTAATATAATGTAATCACTTATATGATGATATCTGTTATGAACAACCAAACAACTGAAAGAAAATTTCATCCAGGGGGTGGCTTGCTTCCAATATATTTGACACGTGAGAAGAGCTTTTTGCTTTTAGCTGGGTCTGGATCCTGCATCCAGCTTGTCAAGCCTGGTATTTTGAACTTGATCCAGTGGCCTGCTTTATTGCCTGCCAATCCTGGGAGTCTGCAGCAGCCTGCCATCTGACCTGCCAGAGCTGCCTGCCTGCTGTCTGACCCGCTGATCTTGGTTCATCAGCCTTGCAGCTATGTGAGTTAGAAGCCTCCAGCCTGACATCTGACCCACAGACTTGAGACTTGTCCACCTTTACAACTATGTGAGCCATTTCATTGATAAACTTCTCTTTATATACGCACATATGAGTTTGGAGTCCTGCTGTGGCACTGTAGGATAAGCACTAGACTTCTAACTCAAGGTTGCTGGTTTAAACCCACCAGCTACTGCTTGGAAACCCTATACCGATCACTATGAGTCAGAACCAACTCAATGGCATTTAACAATACCAACATGTAAGATTCACTCATTTTGCTTCTCTAAAGAACAGAGCCTAAGACAACCCCCAAAAGAAAACATTTTTTATTATTCATTTATATACTTATGTACCTCCCTCCTATCCATCTTCTTGCCTCTTCCACAGTCCCAGGCAGCTAAACTTTCTATCACTCTAGATTAATTTATATTTTCTAGAATTTTATATGAATGGAATCATACTGTATATACTCTATTATGTAGCGTCTTTCACTAATTATTTTGAAAAATTATTTTATTAGTGTTATTGCACATTACCAATAGTTCATTCCATTTTATTACTCAATAGTGTCTTGTTGTAAGGAGCTCTGGTAGTGTAGTGGTTACGAATCAGGCTGCGAATTGCATGGTCAGCAGTTCGAAACTACCAGCTGCTATGTGGAAGAAAGATGAGGCTTTCTGCTCCCGTAAAGATTTACAGCCTCGGAAACCCTGTTCAGGGTTGCTATGGGTCGGAACCGACTCGATGGCACTTAACAACAACAACAACAGTATCTTGTTGTAGAATATACTACGATTTATTAACCATTCACCTGTTGGTAGACATTTGAGTTCTGTTGCTTTAGAATAATTATTGACCTTTTGGTCTCATATTTCCTAGCTATTGGCTTTTGCAAATAAAACTGATATAAATATTCATGTACAATTTTTTGTACAGATAATGTGCTTTTATTCTGCTTGAGTAAGTACTGTACAATGACTAAGCCTTATGGTAGATATATGCTTAACTTTTAAATAAACTGCCACAGTTTCCTAAATGATTTAACCATTTTAGATTTCTGCCAGTAGCGTATGAGAGTTGTACTTTTTCCATATCCTCTCCAACACTTGGTATGATCAGTTTTTTCTTTTAATTTTAGATGTGGAAAGTTATGTAGAAGTATCACATTGTGATTCTAGTTCCCTAATGACAAATGATATTAAGCATCTTTTCATATATTTATGTTCATAAAAGTTTGTTATATAAGTTTACTTTGGTGAAGTATCCAAATCTATTGCCCATTTTATTACTGGGTTGCTTATTTTGCTATTGTTGAGGTTTTTAAAAATAATATTTTCTTTTATTCAGTTTTTTGGTG